TTTTAACGTTAAGGATACTTTTAGCCTGAAAAGTCACTCCTGCTATTATTCACTTACACTTTTATTTTATCATTTTGGTTAAAAGCTAAAGTTTTCAAAATCTTTTCATTAGTTTTCCCTATATTCATTTGGTCCGTTTTTCAATGACTACCTAGGCTTGTTGGCCATAATGGAGACTCCATAGTTTGAATACATTCATTGAACCACAGGCATGTTTAAATCCCCATGAAATAAGAAAAACCTATAGAATGCTAAAGCTGCATGGTAAAGTTTTTAATTTTAACGGAGAGATTCTACTCAAGATATTCCCATCGATTAGCGCGATTGTAAAATATGTTAAACATAATTAATAGTGAGCTATCCCACTAATTAGTGGGTCACAAGATTCCATCATAACAGTTATTCCCATTATTTAAGAAGGCATTCCGAGAATAACGTGATTAATTTCTTAAGGCACCCTTCATGCATGACTAATTTCTTAAATCAACTCGATTTGATTGTCCCTCTCAAAAGGAAATCATTATCACGCTAAAAGACAAGAGTGCTACTAGATCCACCCTATTGTCCTATTTTTTCACCCACATGATAATTTCACCTACCATAAAAAATTAAAAAAGTAAAATGTAATTTTCCACCCATCATTATTTCCAAAATAACCCTAATATTTATTTTTTTAAATAACTCTAATATATCTTTAAATAATATTATAAATAAATAAATAAAATAGAAAAATGAAAGAAAATGCAAGACCTAAAACCTGACATTCATCATCTCCTTCACACCTATCTTCGCCTTGCTAAGACCCCGGATCCCCAAACCACTCTTCTTCCTTTTTTGCCAAAGCCGCAGATCTCACACCCAAGTCTCTTTTTCCTCCATTTAAGTTTCTCACATTCATCTAGCACACACTCATTCCTTCCTCCAACCTTTCTGTCGATTCTAACTCAAATCTTTCCCAACCTCTTTCCACCAAAGATATCACATCTCACCCACCATTATTTATTTATTATTTTAAATTATTTTTTGTTTTTTCAAAATTTTTGTACTTAATTAAATAGGGGTTTAAGAGTCTTCTTTTAAAAGGATAATATGTTATTAACATTTTTATTAAATGATGGGTGGGGAAATAAGACAGCGGATGGGAATATCAGCACTCAAAGACAATATGACGACACAAAAGACAATATGACACACACATATATGTCATTATATGTCATTCATGATACTTTAATCAAAGAACATATTTACTTACAAGAAAAGGAAATTAAAATAATTCTGACTCTTGAATTTTCTGGGTTTATTAAATTAAAGTTACGAGAATCATTTCGCTCACTAACCAATAAACTTTCAAAGAAAAACCCTACTCCTTTAAAGTAAAACTGTAGCTGCCGATCCCTTGCCTTTGGTTTTGAGGTCGGGACAATCCTTCTCGATCTCTTCCCTCTTTCTCTCTTTGTTTCCAGTCATGGTCGCTCTCTTATTATGCCGATGAGAGTCTTCATAGTTGTTGTCGTGGTCATGACTTTGACATCTGTTGTTTCTAATTTGAGGTGATGATTTTTGTGGTTTGTTTACTTGACAAAGGACTATAAAAAGGACACTCAATATTTGTTGGAGGTGACTCATAGAAGGGTTTCTACTGGCGGCAAGAGCATCAGAGAAGGGTGCAAAACTTAACTCGTGGTGCCTTCAGTTCTTCGACTTGCAAAGTTCAATCCTCGTGATTAAGATTTGGGGTTTAGGAAGAAGTCATACGTGGCACCAATTTTATCCTATTTTTGATGAGTTTTGTAATTATGGTGGAATAATAGTATTTTGGAATGTCTGGTCTCTTGAATCGTACTCCAATTTCTAATTACTCCTAGTCATTATGCTTCTAGTCCTTTTAGTTAAAATGAATTTAAAATAAGAAGCATGACTGGGATGCACTCTAAGACAAGGGAAAACACGCATAAGTAGCTTGAAAGGTAAGAGCCAGTATTTGGTTTTAGCTAAGATGATAAAAAGTTATAGGGATTGCTCAACGTAGGAAGCTTCAGTTTTAGTGCCGTATGGCCTCTTGTCACATTCTTGGGTTAATCAACAGTACCCTCTCTCATTATCATTAACTATCAGATGTATTCCATAAGTGAAAGTAATATGATATATACCTCAAACAATTTATCAATTAATGTAGTTTCTTTTCTTATGAATATTATGATGATCACTTGCACGTTTTTTGGAAACCCAATTTTTTGTATATGTGTGTGTGTGTGTGTGTGTGTATTTGTAGTGGAGGCTTTTTGTTTACTTTGGCATAGCAATTAATTAGAGGGGAGAGCTTGCTTGTTAAAGCAAGCATGCACATACGTTTTTGCCTATAGCAATAGTGACTAGAAAGCTTTCACAGTTACTGGATGAGAAGAAAGAGATATAGAGAAACGGTAAAGACCAAATTTTGCAGAGATCTTTTATTAATTTTATTAAAAAGATTCTAGTTACTTGTTTAGCCTTAGTATATTTGCTTTTTATTTGTTTAATTAGGGTAACCCTGGCATAACATGAACATAAGCTTGACATGAGTTTTGTGATGAAGTGGTAATCAGCGACCGTTGGCTTACGAGAAGAGCAAAATTTGGTGTTAAAATAAGCATGTTATGGTCTAATATTGCAGAAAACAAAAATTTAGCCTACTCTCAATGCTTAAATTCACTACAAACTACATGAAAATAAATTAACCCATTCCTATATAAATTTCTAACTCTGCCATTAATCAAATAATCAAATTATTTAGACACATAAAACTGATGCATTTAACCAAATAATAAAAATATTCAGTAAATATGCAAGCGTTGTGTGTCTAAATATAACATCGCCTGTTTTTATGTTATGTGAGCCCGCTAGGGTCCATTTTGTAACCATACGAAAACTGGAATAAGTTCTTCAACAAATTTTTAGTTAGAAAAAAAATCTGAAAACAAAATATGGTTATCAAATAGCTAGCCCCTAAATAAACTACTCTAATCTACGAGAATATAAACTTGGTTGCAATGGGGAGGGACGTGCTGGTCTAAATCACATCTACAACCAAAATTTTAGTAGCACTTATATAAGCTTGAATAATCGTAGGCAGCAGTTTATCTAATCATAGAATTTTTTTTTGTTACAAGAGATATTACTACTCTAAGCTACATTTGTAACATCTCATATCGTCCAGGAGAGTGGATCCTCTATGCCTTATATGTATATTCTCATCTCTACCTAGCACGCGGCCTTTTGGGAGCTCACTGGCTTCGGGTTCCATCGGAACTCCGAAGTTAAGTGAGTTCGAGCGAGAGCAATCCCATGATGGGTGACCCACTGGGAAGTTCTCGTGTGAGTTCCCAAAAACAAAACTGTGAGGGCGTGGTTGGGGCCCAAAGCGGACAATATCGTGCTCCAGTGGAGTTGAGCCCGGGATGTAGTGGGGGTCCAGGCCGGGATGTAGACAATTTGGTATTAGAGCCAATCCCTGGCCGGAAGTGTGCCAACAAGGACGTAGAGCCCCTAAGGGGGGTGGATTGTAACATCCCACATCGCTTAGGGGAGTGGATCCTCTATGCCTTATATGTATATTCCCATCTCTACCTAGCACGAGGCCTTTTGGAAGCTCACTGGCTTCGGGTTCCATCAGAACTCCGAAGTTAAGTGAGTTCGAGCGAGAGCAATCCCATGATGGGTGACCCACTAGAAGTTCTCGTGTGAGTTCCAAGAAAAAACCGTTCGTTGTCGAGGCCCAAAACGAACAATATCATGATGCGGTGGAGTCGAGCCCGGGATGTGGTGGGAGCCCGGGCCGGGATGTGACAACATTGAAGGGAGACAAAAGGTTTGAATCTGGTACAAAGTGGATTGAAGATGAAAACTCTAACCATTAGGGCAATGCACCACTTGCATATGTTGTATATATAAAACAAATCATATATTTTGTCCACAACATTAGGGATATGTTCTTTCTTTTTTGGTGTAATTATACATGTCAAAATTGACTAAATTAGTAATTGTATAACCATTTATTTATCGGCATTTTCATTTTAGTCATATATCTAAAGAATAGTTTTTAATTTGAATAATTTTTTTTTTAGAGATAGCGTTTGATTGAGGCCCCTAAAATATGAATGGTTTGAGTCCTTAAAATGCATTATGGGGTACATTGTCTTAAGAAAGTTGGGTGCATTTTTTTTCTTACAGTAGGATCATTATTGAAGAAAGAATGTGCATGCATGTAATTGTGTAGCAATCAATTATGAATATCGAACATATATTATACTTAAAGGTTGCCTTGGCCTCGGTGATGCATGTGTCGGTCAGACACAGTAGTACATAGGAGTCTCTCTCTTACACTAATTAAGTAATCAAATAATTGACCATCTATTTGGATTGAAAACTGACATAATTTATATCTGATTATAAACAAGTATATGTCTATATATATATATATATATGTACATATATTGTGTGTACATAATTCTGTTTTTTTTTTTGTCAAAGTGTGTAGATAATTCATTACTAATGACAAGCACAGAAACCGCCCGTTAGAGTGATAGCCTTTCACATGTATGAAATACAAAATCAGGAAGAGTGTAAGCTGCTGCGGCAAACAGAAGGTGAAGAGAGGTCTATGGTCGCCTGAAGAAGATGAGAAGCTCAGCAACCACCCATGGTCATGGCAGCTGGAGTTCTGTCCCAAAACATGCAGGTATACATATACTTGATTAATTACATTTTTCAAGTTTATGAGTTTGCGAGTGGGAAGGAGAAAGTTGATTTTTATCTTGGGGTCATGGCAGGCTTGCAGAGGTGTGGCAAGAGTTGCAGGTTGAGATGGATAAACTATTTGAGACCCGAACTCAAGGGGATCCTTTGTTCCTGAAGAAGAACATACTATCATTGATGTTCATAGAATTTTGGGCAACAAGTGAGGATTTAATTAACCTTTTTTTTTTTAATTTTTTGTCAAACAATATTTCGTTTCTTTAAAAATGTTAGATAAGAGTCACTTAGTACTACGGTCTATTAGTATTCATCTTCAATTGTAAGTGATAACTCTTATGTTAGATTTTCGCCAAAGGCGAATTTGAACCACATTATTGCTAGTCCACCCACCCCCTCCCCCAGATAATATTGTTTAAAAAAAAAATGTAAGATAAGAGGCCGTCAATTATGATCAGTAGTTGAATTACATCAATTATTATGCTCAGTTGTTAATTAATTAGTAGTAGCACCACCACACCATTAATTTCAACTAATATAGTGTGAATTAAATGTGTTTTCTCTAACATTACTCTATTTCTTCATATGCCAAAAAGGCAAAAGAAAAAGTGGATTCATCGCAATTAGATGTTGGTTTGGTTGTGACAGATGGGCTCAGATTGCCAAGCATCTCCCCGGAAGAACAGACAATGAGGTGAAGAATTCTGGAATTCATGCATTAAGAAAAAGCTCATGTCACAAGGTTTGGAGCCCAAAAACCCATAACTTGATTCCTAATTCTCATCATCAGAAATCAGCTTCTAGCAAGGTTGCTCAACAGCAACCCATTCAAGTGCCTTTCACTGAAATAAATGCATCACCTATTAATGTGACATTACGTACTTATCAATATCAAGATCTTGATCAAAACCCTAGTAATGCTTCTTGGACTAGGGTTGAGGATCCTACCTTCAATGACATCATCAGGTTGCCTCATCAACCATCCACTGATCACAGCACACTGATCAATAATATTTCCTCTTCATCGTCGTCTTCCTCGGTGAACCTATCAGTGTTTGGTCTCTTGGAAAATAGTAACATCTGGCTTTCTGGTGCTGATCCCTTTGAAGTACCAAGAATACTATTGGGAGAGCAGTCAAAGGGAGAAGAAGTAGTTCTACAGCAAGAAAAGGAGACGCTCTTGGATCAGATGGAAATTAAGCGTATTGAGGATATGGATCATGCTTCAATATTTGAAAGTTCTAGTATTGATTTTAGCTTTGTCGAGTCTACACTTATGTCGTGTGGAGAAATATCTCAGGATCTGAACTCTATGTGTAATTTTGCATGGAGATATTAGACTTGTTTTGCGTGCATACAATTTAACCAAAGTTTTATTGAACTTTTCTCGCCAAATTTTCCTGATTTTACACGTTTTGAGGTATCTTGTGGCAAGGGAACCAACTTTTTGGCTACTCTTTGACCATTCCCAGTGAAAACTTAACAGCAAGACAGCGAGAGTAACTGCCCAAAACATATATTTCGTGAGGAACTGGACTTTCAGTAGTTGTCTAATATTGTATCAGAACTACGGTTTTAAGAGAACGTGATTAGTTCAAATCCTCGACCATCATCATTGAGTTATTTCTCCAAGTCTCGTGGTTATCTGACTGGTTACTTAATTAAGTACTATAGTCTATAATCCATGTTCATTTAGTAAACCATTTTCCAATGAGGGACACATACAATATATTTGTTCCAATAATCATTTTCTTTTCAAATAACACCGTCACAATATGATCTGCTTATCCATTTCCCTTCCCAAAATTGACCTAACACGAATCAACACCAACATGCAAAAGGGGGGAACCAATACAAGGAAAATTATAAACGAAAAAAAAAAATGATTGTATGCTTTGGGAGTAATATAAAGTACTTCATTCTCTATTGTGAAGTACATTATATATAGCCTTATCATGATGATCTCATTTTCTGGCAATATAAATCCACCACTTCTGGTTATTTAGCCAATGGAACACTATATTTTATTTCTAGCTACCTTTGTGTATCAATGAATTGAAGTATGAAAATGTGAGTGTTAGTATGTAGTGCTTAGTCTTGCAAGGAGAGGGGCACAGAGTTGTCTTGAGATGAACATAATGAGAAGATCTCTTCAAATGTTCCATTCATGTAATCCTTGAACTTGTCGTACGACATGTACTTGTCGATGATTTCCGGCTTTGCTGTGTTTGTCTCTGCAGCTAAATTGATCTGCGGGAAGTCTTCAAGTTCTAAGGGTGGGTAAGGAAATTGATAGGTATTCAGTGAGCTCGCATTGGGCGGTATATATGTCTCCTGCATTATTTGGCAGACAATTACAATAAATTGGTATTGATCACATGAGTCTTAAACAAAGAAATTAAGATGCAAACTTAAACTCTGTTTTGGTTCATACACATAGCACACATACATTAACTAGACATGTATATGGAAAATAACATGACGAAGATATTGTGAACAAATTATATACTGAATTTCATAGAAGCAATTACTGGAATTTTAATATATAAAATCATTTTTAAACAGTTTTTTTGTCTTCCAGAAAAGAGAAAGAGGCAAGCGTTCAAATTGTTAGGGAGATGACTAAAACGAAAAGGCATTGGGGATAAAGAAAATGGAGAGGAGCACTAAGAGGAAAATTAGGAAGAAATATGTTTTGAGTCAGTCAAAAGAAGTTACAGATGTTGATGAAGAAAGCCCATTTGAGTCAGTCTACTATAAAGATTTTTGAACGAAGCTTTAGCAAAGGATATAACTCATTACTTGCAACTTTTGTTACTTTAAGATCAAAAGAAAACTCTAAGGCCTTGATTTGTGGGCCACTTCCAACCAATCATAGTAGGTTTGCGCGTGTTTGAATCATTGAATGTGCCCATGATCATAATTCATTTACGTAGCTTGATCTTAAAATTATATGTATGGGGTGTGAACATGAAGCCTTGGAGAGTATATGTAAAGCAGATTAGCTATATACAAAAGTAGAATATTTCCCAAAATGTGCCTTGGCAAAAGGAAGCAATGATATCATGAAGATTTAAAAAGACTTTAAAAGAGCATATTATTTTGTTATATATGTAGGGGTCTCTCTTACTAGACGGTCGCAAAACTATTAATTTGAATTATTAATCATGCAGTCATGTATGTTTAAATATAATGTTTAAATTAATAGTTTGATAACATAACATATAGACTGTTATGTACCATTATCTATTATGAGTGCGTAAATGTATTGTCCCGAATAAAATGAATTTGTAAATAGTACTTTGTACAAACCTGAAGTAGATCTGAGGAGCAGTGGACACCAAAAGAGTATAGATCAGCTGAACTGTTTGCTTCATCAGAAGCAAATGGAGCTTGTAAATCGTCAGCTATGCCAGTTTCAGTAGGTGTGCCTTGAGTGAGATCTGAAGAAGAGGTGTCAGATATAAATTTGGGATAATCATGGTTGGAATAATTCTCATCTTGATCAGTTTCAATCCCTCTTGAAGCTCCCTCATTAATGCCACTAGTGTCTTCCCCTAACAATTGTTCATTGGAGACCCATATTGAATCATTGTCTGCATTGTTAATCCCAATTGGCGTGTATTCTTTGTTACTCTTGGGCATTTGTATTGTTTTCTTGAACACTCGGCACAATGCGTAAGAATCCTGTGTAATTCAAAATAACCAACAAGTTAAACATGGCCGGCCAAAGTTACATATATGCATATATATATGCAAGTGAAGAAAGTTGGAGTTCCACAAATCAACCAATACGTTAAACATGGTATGCTAAAATTACATATAAACATGTAAGTGAAGAAAGTTGGGGTTCCACCATAAACTCAATTGACAATATGAGGAGTAGTCAAAGCTCTTATAAGCCCTTGCAAGGTTTATTCTTTTACCGATGTGAAACTCTTTTATCTTCACATCCTCACACGCCTCATCACGTGTGGTGAATTTTTAAGCTAAACATGTGGACAATATGCACGAACCTCACATGCACGCCTCCTCATGTGTGACGAATTTTCAAGCTAAACACGTGGACAACAGCGAATTGGTTGACGTAGAGCATGTGTGGCCATTAGACTTCACATGTAGACCAACCTACTATGATACCATAAAGAAAGTTGAGGATCCACCATAAAAGCAATTGGCAATATGAATAGTAACTTAATTACTTATAAGCACAAGGTTCCTCCTTTCCTCAATATGTGATTCACTAGTAAGCATAACAAAGACTAGAAATGAAGGACAGGATCTCTTTCTCTAAAGCCTACGGATCAAGTGATCTGAACCCTTAAAATTTGATTCAACGGCTAAAAACAAAGAAGTTGACAAAAACTTTTAAAATTTATAATAATTTTTTGCCGTTATTTCAAATTTCAAGAGCACGGATCACTTGATCCGTGAGTTTTCAAGGAAGAGATCTAGATAGAATTTCTTTCAGAAATGAAAGCAAGCACAGAAAGAAAAGGAGAAAAAAGAGCAGAAATATATGTGATGCTAAAGTCTAGAAAAAGATACTAGCAAGTACACCTAAAGTGTAGACTGAAGTGTCTTTAATCATCATGTTGATAAGCTAAATTCCTTTTAAAGGACAAGAAAGAAATTAAAGGAAGAAAACGTACAAAGAGTGATATTGAATTTTGCTTTTATTCGAGTCCATAGACATTACATATGCACGAGAATGATGGCGTAAATTGTGACCAGTATATATATATATATATATATATATGGGATTTTGATCCTCGCCTGGAGATCTTAAGGATTAACGAATACGGACCGTTGATAAAAAAATCGTGCAATCCAATTAAATGTTTTTTATATTTTTAAAAGTAAAGCATCATCGTTTTGCATGAAAAATATAAAAAGGAAAAGAAAAAATTGTGGCCGCACGATTTTTGATCAACGATCTGTATTTGTTGATCCTATGATCCTCAGTGAGGGGATTCCGCGAGGATCCAAATCCATATATATGATGATATTATACAGGAAGATGTTCAGATTCAATTTATGTTTCTAGCTAACTGTTTTGTACACTCGTTAAAGTGCATGCTGGGAAGCGCTCTTTATTATATCAGTCAAGCACTGGATTCATATTCTTAATTGGAAACCCTAATTACAATAATTCTTGTATGGTAGTTACGATAATGGTGTATAATTAACTTTCTTTAGATATCAGAAACTCTAATTTTTTTTTTTTTTTTGAAAAAATCACCAAACCCTAATTATAAGGGCACAACACTCTCTCTTGCGCGTCTTAAACACCAACAGTTGCACACTCTTTATGAAACAGTTTAAGTAGATTCTCTTCAGTGAATTCAAGCAGCTAGCCCTTATATTAAATCATTGTCATTAGATTTTCTAACTCCAAAAATGCTTATATTTACCAATTTTAAAGGAGCAAAAAGGAAAATGGAGGGAATTAGATGCATACTAAACCATACAACTAATGATCTACTACAAGTATATTGCGTACTTATGTATACCTTTAGAGATGATGACGCATTGCCACACACAGAATTGACCAGCCGGTACTCATGCATAACCCAGTTGGTTCTAATACCATGGGGGGCTCTACCTCTATAGTAAACCAATGTCTTCTTCATGCCGACAGCACGCCTCTGACTGTTCACCGCCCGGTCTTTCCCAGTCGCTTTCCAGTACCCAGCTCGAGTAGCCCTATTCGTTCTCGACCCGTTGGGGTACTTCCTATCCCTCGGGCTATAGAAGTACCACTCCATGTCTTTGCTCGGAAGGAACGACTTATCTACAGTAAACAGAGTATGTCAAACTTATGTACAGTAAGAGAAATTCTGTAGTCCTGTTGTAATGGATTAAAGAGTTGAGAGTGTGAATCTCACATCGAGAAATCGAGAGACCTTGCATGAACTTTTAAAGTATTGGATTATTCCATATTTTTATAAATGGTTGATAAAACCTCAACTTCTTTTATCATGTTCACTTGAAATATTATTATTACTAGAATTATATATTTACATGAGGCACAAAACAAAATCAAGTACATACCAGGTAAATCCCATGGCTCACATTTGTAGAGGTCGACCTCTGGGATAATTTCTAGCTCAATGGTGCGACCATTGATTTTTCGATCTAGATAGTAAGCAACAAGCTCTTCATCCGTTGGGTGGAATCTGAATCCAGGAGGAAGACTCATGGGTGCCATTGCAGTACTCTTTGAGAGTGTGAGAGAGATGAAGTTAAACAGAATGAGAGAGAGAGAGAGAGAGAGAGAGAGAGAGAGAGAGAGAGAGAGAGAGAGAGAGAGCGAGCAAAACTCTGGACTTGAACTAAACTGGCTTGCGCGATAATGGACTATATAGGCCACTGTTGGCATCAAAGCTACAGACATTTGCCCTTCGATTTCCAAAGTATTACTTATATTAATGTTGCCATGATTGATCAGATCCAAGAGAGAGTGGTTTTTTTTGGTAGTTAAGACTGGGAAGTGGGGTTGAAAAGAGAGGGAATATTAGGATGGTGATATTTGGATCTTGGCTTTTGAAGAGATTCTATGTAAGGTTTTGTGTGAAAACCCAGAGGGAGGGATAAGAAGCTTCCCTTCTTTTGTCTGCTCACAAACTAACAAAATACGGTGGCCCTCTCAAAAGGCTGTCTGGGGCCACTAAATCGTCCATACCCTAAACACGCAATACCATGCCCTAACCCTCTATTTTAATAATCATTCTGCAATCGCAAACCCTATTATATACAGTACTCTATCTACTTTTATACATACAATATTTGATGTATTGTACTACCGAATACTTTAATCAATGACGTTCACATTTTTCACAGCTTTTTTGGGTATTCTGCAATCCATTCTTATATTCTTTTCTTTGTATACCCAGGTATAGATTAGGCTTGCATTATGAATATTTTCTATTTTGTTAGAGAGACCAAATTTTAGATCATATTTTGTAAATTATATAATGTGGCAATTGATCGTTAAGCTCATTTATTAATAATTTATATAAAAAAAATTTAATCATCAACCGTTACATCATGTGATCTACAAAAAATAATTTTAAATTTTGGTCTCTCTAACACCATCCTTAAGATTATAGTAGCTCTTAGATAGTTAGATGACGTCTTCTGGAGACCATAAACGTAGGCCGTATGTAAGAGAAAAGGGGGAAGCTCCTCCTATTTTAAAACTGCTATTAATTATGATAAGCCTTTTATAGGTTTGTGCCATACATGCTATGCAATCTTGTTTAGAGATTTGTGGATAACGCAATGCAATTAATATATTTGAATTGCATGCAGTGAAGTTGCTTGAATGAGGTCATAAAGAAATCAATTCTCATCAACCACGGTTTCTGAATCAAAGAAACCACACTGAAGTTTATAAATAGCTTACTAGTTAAATTGCATATACAAATTTGATTATAAAAATGCATTGTGAATAACAAGCTTATTACTTGAATAAAAAAAGAGTTCAATTTGGCTCGTCAAGGATGAGGAGTGATTTCTGTTCAAAATACTTCGTGGTCGATTCACAAAATTTACTACTTATAATCAGAACTGTTAATACTAAAAATCACTATGTAAAAATTATCTCTGCACAAAAATTAATAAAATATAAAATTATTTCATTATCAAATTGTATAAAAAAATGATAGAAATCTATAAAAGTATTAGAAACTCATCCGGCGATTCTAATACACATACAGAGCTTTCTAATGTTTGTCATTCTCATCATGCGGATTTGGTTTGCATCTTTGAACCTGTAGTTACTCGTGGTTCTATCTCTCTTGCTTTTTGGGATTCATTGGATTTATCTTTAACTGTTGTTAACAACAAGGATGACTTATTGCGTAATATGTGGATTGTACATTCTCCTACTTGTTGCTCTCATTATGTGATTTCTTCTACTACACAACATATTACTATTCAGACTTCTTTTAGTGGTGTTCTTTCTCATTTCACTATTGTCTATGCGGCTATTAGTTCCAGCCGACGTCGAAAATTATGGTGTGATCTTTTGGGTATTTGTTCTTATACTACTGTACCTTAGATGGCAATTGGCGACTTTAATGTTGTTCTTAGCGCTCATGAACAAGTGGGTGGTTGTTTGCCAGCTCGAACTTCTTATGAGGATTTCCACAATATTACTGAGTTTCATGAATTTACTCATATCGACACTATTGGTGCTTTTTATACCTGGGGCTAAAGGTCGGGGTGTTCATGCACTACTACAAAAGTGGTCTTAATGTGTCAGCGGGTTGGTGTCAGGTTTTATATAATATAGTGACGGATCAGACATTTCTGGCAGCCACTTTACATGGTGTCGGAATTACTGTCGGTTATAACCGACATAAATTGTATATGTCGATTATAACCGACATAGACTGTTAATGTTGCTTATAACCGACATAGTTTTTAATCTTTTCAAATGATGGTGTGATTGGTGTCGTATAAAAAAAGAATCGTGTCACTTTCAACCGACATAAAGTTAATGTTGGTTAAAAAGAGAATCATGTCGCTTATACCCAACATTAATAATTCTTTTTAGATATTTTAAAACTTCTTGTCAATTGTCGCTCACAGGTTGGTGTTCTTTATGTATCTTCTCTCAATAATATCAGAACCCTCTCTCATTTCTCTCAGCCCTCTCTCCCTTTAATATCAGAACCCTAGCTGCATCTCATTTCCCTATAATGAAGAACCCTAGCCGCACCTCATTACGCACTCTTCTCTGCAAAAATCCAAAATCAACGAGTCTACCATGGAAATGTAGGCACATCTAAGCTCCAATCTTCCCACAGAGGTAAACATCGACCCCGCCATTGTTGAATATGTGTCCATTTGATGATTTTTATACAGAAATAAGAAGCAAACTAACACATGCTTGTTTGATTTGTGTACGAGTTTCTAGATCCGCCGAAGAAATAATGGGAAAAGGCAGAATAACACTCCAACTCAGATCCAAAACAAAAAGGGTAAAAAATGTAACGATCCGTCCCTAAAATTACAGTTTTATAATTATTTTTTAAATATATGATTTTATTACTTATTATTTATTATATTATTATATTTTATTAATAGTATTATTATTATAAACTTTGGTCCACTCACTCTTTTATTTTGCGCCCCCTTCAGGATTTAGATTCGAGGCATATAATCCTGGCGTCAGGGCATCTTTGCGTAGGTATCTTCAAGTCTTTACAGCATAGGACCCACTCCTTTATTCATATATTTTATTGTAATTCTTCCATCTATTCCTTGATTAGTTGTATGCTCTGAACACGTTCCGCATCGACATATTTCTTTTTAATTATTTATTTTCTTTGTTTGCATGTTTAAAATGGCTTCGTCACCCTCGGGTGTCGGCCAGCACAGTGCCTACCCTAATATTTGGAGATATCGGGGTTGGGGCGTGTCAAAAAATCCGTTGCTGATACATATACAGCGGCTGCTAATACAACCCAAGAAAGATGCATAGGTCCAACAGTCACGGTACTCGTCCCCAAACGTCTGATCTCAGCTAATCTACAATAACGGTAATAATCTTTTCTGGTTTCCCTTCACTGACGTGAGCTCGGCATGCATTAAATATGTCCATATATGAATGTGAACTCCTTATTTCTGGTTGTGAGCAGAGCAATGGCTGATCTGGTGTCCGCAAAGGAAATGGCAAAGAGTGGCTTGGTTAAATCACAGTTCCAAGCAAACAAAAGGTAAGAAAACTTGTTTGTACATGCTATAGGTTTGCTCTTAAAAAATATGGCTATGTATCACGGCATGTCTCATATTCCTGCATTGTTTAGGTAGGACACTCGGACCTAGGGTATATCCGAGAAAAGGAAATGTTGAAGTTGTAGATCCAAAGGCAAACAAATTATCAACTGACACATCTTCGGATATGAAAGGTACACTCATCTATGCTGAGATTTTGCTGGATCTGCAATGTGTGTGAATGGATATGGAATGCATGTTTCATTTGAAGATACATGTGAACCATTTGGAACTTGACCTGCTCTGAGAACAAAAGAAAAATCCACCTTCAAACTGAATAAATGACATGTTTTTGTTTCTATTTTTTTTTTTCGAATGCATTAGTGATAGATCCACTGAAAACAGTCGTGTTTCCTCAATAACTCATGGAGTTGTTTATTTGTGGTAGGAAATTTTTTATTTATTTTTTATTATTAATAGTTTGTGGTGTCACTTATGGGCGACAGTATAGTTGTTATTTTATTTATTGAATTGTTAGGTGGTGTCGGTTAGGGCCGACAGTATAGTTGTTTATTTTATTTATTAAATAGTTAGGTGGTGTTGGTTAGGACCGACACTACTATCCTTTTTTAATGTCGCCTATAGCCAGCGTGAGTTTCAATGTCACTTTTATCCGACACTACTATCCTTTATTTTATTTTATATTGCTTCCTTCTTCGTGGCGGATTAAGGGGACTAACCGACATCAAAAGTCTTTTTGTGATGCTAGCAATAGTGTCGGTTCTTTTATCCAACATTGCATGAGTTTATGTCAGATTTTTACCTATTATACAACATAAATTATGTTTTCTTGTCGATTTTTGAACCACCAATTATAGGTAACTTTGTAGTAGTGATGGTCACATGGTGAGGCGTCTTTATCAATATCTATGTGTTGGCCTCACACTAGTTGTTCTTCTTTTCCAAAAGTAGCCTCTGATCATAATTGTCTTGTTTTTCGGCCTTGATTGTTTTACTTGGAGGCCTTCGTCCTTTCCTATTTCAATCCATGTGAACTTTGCATTCTGGTTTTATGGATGTGGTGGCTAGTTGTTAGCAGTCTACTATTACATATGGTTGTCCCATTTTTGTTATGTTGCAAATACTTAAGGCTTAAGTGTTGTCTTCGAGATTGGAATTATAATATTTTTTTTTGTGATTTTCTTCGAAATGCTTGCTAGGGAGAATCTAAGAACTATTCAAAACATTATTGCTTCCTATAGGCTGACTCAAGATAGGTTTGATGATTTGTAGCTAAGACAACTGTTCTTAATTCTCTACGTATGAAAGAATCTTTCTAGTGAGACCTAGCCCGAGCCTGAGTCAAATGGCTTACTAAGGGTGATTGTAATACTGCATTTTTCATGCTTATGCTCGTGGTAGGTCTTCATCTTAGAGAATTGCTACTCTTTGGGGTTGTGATAATGTGCTCTCTTCTCCGACTGATATTGTTGATTATGTGGCAAACTTTTATCAACCTTTATATTATTCCCCTTCAAGCCTTCTAGAATTGATGATGTTTGTAGTGTAATTCCACCTATGGTTAGTAAGGTAGAAACTCTCCAATCCTTTGTTCTTTATCTTCAGTTGGCGAAATTAATAGTGTAGTGTTTTCTATGGACCCTTTGAGTGTACCAAGCCCAGATAATTTCCTAATTCATTTTATCAGTCTTGTTAGGATATTGTTGGTTTGGATGTTATTGCTTTTGTTCAAGACTTTTTTTAAGTGAGGTTGGTTATATCCCCATGGTAATTGTAACTTTGTGATGCTTATTCTGAAAGTTGAAGGGGTTGCTACTATTACTCAGTGTCTTTCCATCACACTTGAGAAGTTTCCCTTAAAAAATAAAAAAAACCTATTTATTATAGTTGATTTACTATACTACTTTAGTTTTAATTGAATTTTTGCAGACATAATATTTAAATAGTAATTTATAATATGAACTTCTTTTATCATAAACACGAAGTGTTTTTAGGAGGAATTTCTCCTCATTCTTTAAAGCCAAGCATTTTCCTAATAGAAAAAGAACATTCTTATTCAGTGAATAGTTATTCAATTTTTACATAAGTAGTTTACAATAATAGTCAAGAATACAAATGTGCATTGAGAATAACATTGTTTTTTCTTTTTTTCAAGAGTTTTTACCAAAAAGTTTATTGTCCAATATTACATAATAATGATGAGGTCACAAAATTACGTTCTTACTACAGCAACAATGTTGATTGTTATGTCTTGGACATTCTATTTATACTATTAACTTAGATTAATGTGACAACGTGATTGCATTATAAAGTCATGATTAAATCAATATTATGGTATACCATTGATCCGAATCAACCAAAATTATCAACCTAATAAATAGGGTTACACACATTTTTATGACCTTTTGTTCAACAATTTATTCACCAATTTAATCCATCCAATTCAGCTAATTTAGTCTACAAGTTTGTCTTTAATCTACAAGTTTGTCTTTCTTAGCCAATGTATATCAATTGATGTTAAAGAATGCACATGAAGTCGATCGGAAAAACTAGAGATCGAATAGTGTAAAATGCGTGGTACAAAAAGGACTAAGATAATAGAAGTTCATTAGGTTTAAATCACACTTAACTGAAGAGAAATCGTATTTTAACTTGATCAAGATCACCGTGAATAAGAAATATCAAGGAGGACAAGATATAAAGTTCATAGATATACTTTAAATATAGTAGCTATATTCTCTTATAGGGACATCGTACGCTTTGCAGACAATTCTTGGTTGTCTTGAAGGACAAATAACAGAGTCTTCCCTAAAACTAAAGCTATGAACAATGCATGTATTGCAACTTTTTGTATAACATACGATTGATGATGATGACGATGATCTACTTTTCTACAAAAGTGGATCGCAATGGATTGATTAATACAATATTTTAGCATGAAAATCAAATGGAAACATAAATATGCATTCAAATGGTATATGATTACGGCACAAATAATTTTATCCAAAGTATAATACTTGTCTAAAAATGGACCCCAATTCAATTCTGTCCATACGTACTTCGTACATGGAACTGGACAAATAAAAGTGCTAATGATATGAGTCGCAGCATCAAATGATGCTTTTCAGTTTTGAAATATTTGCATTTCAACATGAATATACAAGTAATAATTAACAAAGAATTTGCTAAAAGAACAACAATTAAATCTCTCATAAACCTTCTTGTTGGAAATGGTTTAGAGGGACCAAAAATACTGTATTGCATTATTGAATCAAAACGTCACATGACAATAAATTTAGTTTCATAGAAATTGTTCTCTCTCATTCTCAAAATTAAGGATATAGGGGAGAAATAGGGGACAATGTTTTAATTTTATCAAAGAACGCCTCTGGAAGCGTCTCCAAAGTTGGAAAGGAAATCCTTGTCAAGGTGGTTGCTCAGGCAATCCCTCTCTATGCCATAAGTTGTTTTCTTTTACCTAAATATTTCTGCAATGAACTTAATGGTCTTGTTGCACGGTTCTGGTGGAATGGATCTGACGATGGCAGGAAGATCCCTTGGTTGGCTTGGGACAAGCTTTGTCTTCCTAAATGTAATGGGGGTCTAGGCTTCAGGAATCTACATGCTTTCAATCTCGGGATGCTTACCAAACAAGGTTGGAAGCTGTTGACGAACCTGACTCTTTGGTGACACAAGTCCTTCACGCCAAATATTTTCCCTCTTCCCCTTTTTTCCAAGCAAAGGTTAAGCCCGGTGACTCCTTTGTTTGGAGAAGCTTATGTGCTAGTCAAGAGGTGCTCACTAGGGGATCAAGATGGCAGGTAGGCTCTGGAGAAAAGATTAAAATTTGGGATGACAGATGGGTTCCTTCGCCATCATCATTACATATTTTCTCCCCCAAGCCTCATGCCTGCCCCGTTTCTCTGGTTAGTGATCTCATTGATGTGGAAAGGAAATGTTGGAGAACCAATGTCATAAGGACTTTATTCTCAAATTTGGAGGCCGGCCTCATTCTCTATATTCCCATTAACCATTGTCTACTAGAAGATAGACCTATTAGGCACTTCAACAAAAAATGTTTATTTTCTGTGAAAACCGCCTATCATGTGGCATTTGACTTGGTTTCTGGCAAGATCAATCGAGCTTCTTCCTCAGGTTTGTCTGACATTTCCTTACTTTGGAAAAGGATTTGGGGAGCCAAAGTCTCGCCGAAAGTTTGAATGAACGCGTGGCACCTTTGCAAGGACATTGTCCCAACGAAATCCAATCTGGTAAAGCGTCGCATAACCTTTGACTCTCTGTGTGTACTATGTGGCAGTGTCGGCGAATCAAGAGTGCATATTCTTTATGATTGCCTTTTTGCTACCTATTTGTAGAGTTTCTCTCCTATGGACCGTCTACCTTGTGGCCCCTCATTCTCATCAGCCTGTGATTGGATGATTTATCTCCTTCCTAAACTAGACAAGCATAATTTTGATTTAATTCTAACGCTCTCTTATGCTATTTGGAGCACTAGGAATACTATGCTTTGGTCAGGTAAATGTGACCCCTCCTAACATCGTGGTATCTCACACCATCTGCTGGTGGCAAAACTTCCAACTTGCCTCCACTCCTACTTCCACTGCTAGCCACTTTTCGGACTCATCAACCGTGAAGTGGGTGAAGACTAGGCCTATTTTTTTGAAACTTAATGTGGACGGAACTTGGAATGCGAACCATCTCATTGATGGTGTAGGTGTGGTTCTTCGAGACAATACGGGCAATTTTGTAGCAAGCTTAGCTAAGCATTTCCCTCATGTTCCTTCTCATTTCTTTGCTGAGCCTTTAGCGGTCAGGGAAGGTCTTGCCTTGGCGTCTTCCAAAGGTCTTCACAATATAGTTATTGAGAGTGATTCGCTCCTGATCACCTAATCTCTCCGATCTTGTAGCAGGACCTTTCTCCTATTGGTCTCATCGTTGAGAACTCGTGTTACATCCCACCCGGGTCACCATTTAAGAACCAAAAATAATATTTAAAAATTGTCACATCTCGGGTTCGACTACATCGTAACACGATATTGTCCACTTTGGGCCCTGACCACATTCTCACGGTTTTGTTTTTGGGAATTCACACGAGAACTTCCTAGTGGGTCACCCATTCTAGGATTGCTCTTGCACGAACTTGCTTAACTTCGGAGTTCCTACAGAACTCGAAGCCAATGAGCTCCTAAAAGACCTCGTGCTATTTGGAGATGGGCATGTACATATAAGGCTTACAGGATCCTCACCCCTGGGCGATGTAGGATCTTACAATCCACCCCCTTAGGGGCCCGACGTCTTCATCTACACACTTTTGGCCAGGGAGTCGCTTTGATACCAAACTGTCACATCCCGACCCGGGCCCCATCACAGCCTGAGCTCGACTTCACCGTAACACGATATTGTTTGCTTTTGGCCCCGACCACACCCTCACGGTTTTATTTCTGGGAACTCACACGAGAACTTCCCGGTGGGTCACCCATCATGGGATTGCTCTCGCGCGAACTCACTTAACTTCAGAGTTCCGATGGAACCTGAAGCCAGTGAGCTCCCAAAAGGCCTCGTGCTAGGTAGAGATGAGAATATACATATAAGGCTTACAAGATCCACTCCCTTGGACGATGTGGGATGTTACAACTCGAGAGCTTTCCTTGGGGATCACTGGAGTTTGTTTTACTCATATAAGACGTCAAGCAAATGAAGTTGCTCATCGACTTGCCCGTTTCAGTCTTTCGTACAGCAACCCTTCTATGTGGTCTAAGGAACCACCAGACTTCATTTTAGATGTTTTATTTGCAGATTGTAATTCTGAACAGTGACTGCTCACTCTTTGTAATCTTATTTCCCTTATCAATATATCTCTCTATCACCTTTGATTAAAAATAAAAGGATATATCAGAGTAATCTCAGGGAAAAACAAGTTGTTATAGTACACTGCTCACTCTTTGTAATCTTATTTCCCTTATCAATATATCTCTCTATCGCCCTTGATTAAAAATAAAAAGATATATCAAAGTAATCTCAAGAAAAAACAAATTGTTATAGTACAAACATGACCACATAATCGAAAAACAAGCTATAGTACAAACAAGACCACATGATCACACTACAAATTGGATAAGATGTTTAGTTTTTATAATTTTCTTTCATTTTCAGCTTTACTATGGATGAATTTTGATGGGGCCATCGGATAATTCTGATCTTTTTTATTTTTCATCACAAAGGGAAAAAAAATACTTTTATCATTCAACAGTTGATGACTTGATGATGGACCCATGATCATCTGAACAAATCTACCTGGCACACCGTCACAGTCTTCTTTTTCTTTATAATGATTTTCCTTCTATTTTTCCTACCATCCAAACTGCTTTTTCTTTACCAATTTGTGTTCCATATTGAACCTTTAGTCCCTTTCCTTAAAATATCATTTTCATTTGGGTAAAGACATACTAACATCTTTAATGATTACAATACAAATCTTTGACTGGTCTCTCTCTCTATAAGACTCTCATACAGATTAACTGAGTCGCGCATGATTTGAATATTCACAAAGCAAGATTTACGAAGATGGATACTAAATTACTAGTCTAATTTGAATCCTTCTATCCATGCGGTAAAAGTTAAGGTTCCGTTATAAAATTAATATGTAATATAAACAGTATATTAAGTACTTATAAGCATATGTAAGGTCTCTCATCTCAACAATATGAGATTCGTTCTCAACATGCCTCTTATATGTGAAGAATTTTCAAGCTTAACATATGAACAACGCAAATAGGTGACGTGGAGTGCGTTTGGCCATTGAATTTCACACTTAAGACAACATGTTTTGATACCATGAACAAAGTTGGGGTTCCACTATAAAATCAATTGGCAATATGGGAATAACCCAATTACTTATAAACACATGCAAAGTCTCAACATATGCAACCAAATTGGCAATATGGGATTCCAAGAGTTGAAATGCATTGTACTCGCCTTAGAATTGATGTCTTAAACTCTCTCTCTATTTTGTATATATTCGACATGTTTTTAGCCATCAAAGTGATGACTGCTACCCTCAAGTGCAAAAGGATAAGGGAGCTTGATTGTAAGATACACCAGTTGATCAGAGAGAGACAGAAGTCGGCCTTAGTATCCAACGATGTCAAAATTTTGGCTTTCGATGTAAGGCAAAATGCTAAACGCGACACATTTATTGACCCTATTCTTCACATAAATGTGCAAAATATAGTCATATGAGAGATGTGATTATGAACTCATCAAACTAAGCTAGCTAGAATTAGGTCTGTGTTCGAAGCTTAAAGTGGCAGCTTTGGCTTCTTAGTACAACAGTAGTTCTATGGTTGAGAAGTGAACTTGTAGTAATGATGATTACAGAAAAACAGGCCTTTATATTTGTTTTTCTTTCTTTAAATAGCTTTATGGCTTTTACAGCTCAACCGCAACATCAAATGAGTTGTGCATAACCAATTGCATTTAGACAGAGATTGAGAGCGGGAGAGAGGGAGCTAGAGGGTTTTAAGGTCTTTGCCGAAAGAATTACTTTTTGCAATCTTTACCAACCCAACCCTTCCCAATATTCATGCCTAAGATTAAGAGAACATACGGCAACCTTGAACGGGGAGCTTTTGATCATTTGCATAAAGAGATTCCAAACCCTAAATCGCACTTGCTTCCAATAAAATATAAAACCTTGATTCAAACTCTAACTCTCAGTCAATGTTAAATTTCTAAACCACGTTCCTAACATGCATTTTAGTCATTCAATATTAAACTTTCACAGAGAGAGAGAGAGAGAGAGAGAGAGAGGTGAGTTTTAAATGGGGTTCTAAAGCCATGCAACCTTTCACACGATGATGATCTTGTGCAAGGGTAAGAGATAAAGCAAAGCAAAGGAAAGCAAAGGGGGGATGGTGGTGGGGAAGTTGTGGGCGCTTTTGGAAGACTGTAGAGAGAATAGAGAGAGAGAGACAGGGCTGGCTTTGAACAATCACAAAAGATTCTCAAACATCGGCTCTGTCAATCTCCGTCGATATCGATCATTTTAGCTTGTGCAGAAAAGACAAATGTTTAATTAGATTCTTTCCACCTAATTCACCAAGTTCGGGATCCAGATCGTTGAAATTTGATCCAACGGTTACAGTTATTATAACTTTTAAAGGAGCCCCTGTTTGTAGCCTTTGGATCAAATTTTAACGATCCAAATTCCGGACTTAGTAGATTAAGTGGAAAGGGATAGGATCCCTTTCCTGAGATAGTGGCTTTCATGTGGGTTTTCTGGCCCTTCTAGAGGACTATGATGCCCCTTGTCCTAATGAGGGCACGTGTGTCATCAACTTCATCAACTCTTCAGTTCGTAACATCAAGAGTATATTTACACTGTTACACATATATGCAAATAATTAATTCTAACATATAACAAAAAATTCACAAAATTATTTATTTTCAACATTTTTCACACTTACTAATAACTAATCCATCACTACATTCTTCACATTCTCGAGCACATATTTCCAAGAACGCCAGTTAGTAGTAGGACAATTATTCTGTATTGCTACACAAATCGCATGTGCAAACTCCACATATTGCCTCATATCATAGGGCCCGGAGGGCACGCTCTGCTTCTGGTTTTTATCCTCCATTTGATCACGAACAGAATTGTGAAGAATAAGGAGAGCAAAAGCGCATATTTATAGGAAGGTTAGGGACTTTGCGCGACAAAGCCTTTGTCGTGCAAATATCTGCACTATATACAGTATTGATTCCTCTTATTCACATGCACTGAATGCTCTGACTCAAAAAACTAACTGTATTTTGTGCGACGAAAGTCATTGTCATGCAAGTGTTCCGTTGATTCGCATGCACTGAATAATCTAACCCAAACTGAATGACCTTTGTCGCCCAAGGTTTCTACGGAAAATCTTCGTCACGCATTTTTTTCGAGCTAAAAAAAATTACCCGCCGTTTTCTTACTGACTTTACACGACGAGTATCTTTTTTTCATCATGCAAACTGAATTGTGCGACAAAGGTGTACGTCGTGCAAAGTCGCACCACTCTTGCTTGATGAAGCTATTTTTTCGTTGCACAAAACTCACTTGTGCGACGAATTTTGCTTTGTCGCCCAAACATCTGTCGCACAAATAGTTTTTTCAACTAGTGACAAAGATTAAGAGCAGGAGGAAGGGAGCTAGAGGGTTTTAAAGCATCCCCAATGCGAGCTTTATCCTCCATGAGGCTACCACATTTCTAGCCTTAGCAAGAAATTTCATCCCCAATGAGCCAAAAAATAGGGCTAGATCCACCACTGGGGCTAACAACTTCCTTTCTTGGGTAGCATAAAATCAGGCTACATTTAGCCTCAAAAAACAATGGATCCTACAAAAAAAAGTGGTAACACATGTGAGCAAAATTCTATCACTCTCCATCCACTTGCGAATACACTTATACTCTCCTTTTATTATTTTTTAATTCTTTTTCTTACTTATTTTTCTTGCAATTTGGCTAATTCATAATTGTTTTAAATTCCATAAGAATTAAAATTTCAAATTGATTTAACGTTCATGTGCATTGATGGATGAAATTTTCAAATAATTTTTTTTCAAAATTCTATGATACTAATTTAACAATTGATGCTAGGTAAATTGTTGTGTTATATATATGTGAAAATCAAATTATTTCAGAGGGTAAAGTGAGGGTTTGTTTCTTTCAACGGATGAGATTGAGAAAAGGGAATCTAATCCAACGAACGATTCATAAGTGATGAAATCTAACTTTGTCACAATTTGAACTTTTTAGGTTAAAGGGTTCATTAAAAAAATTTAAGATATCACGTCCAAAAATCAACTTAAGAAAAGCTAATACAAAAAAAAAACATCGCTTAATCAAATTACTACATAAATAAATATATATATCTCCATATAGAGCCCGAAAGATATAGCCCCTCACTAAGAGAGATTTTTTTATAAAGCTTTAAAGATTTCTCGAAACTCTAAAATAGGTTGTATCCTCCACTTTTCCAGTCCCATATAGAGTCCCTCACTGAGGATGCTCTAAGGTCTTTGCCGAAAGAATTACTTTTTGCAATCTTTACCAACCCAACCCTTCCCAATATTCATGCCTAAGATTAAGAGAACATACAGCAACCTTGAACGAGGAGCTTTTGATCATTTGCATAAAGAGATTCCAAACTCTTCTAGTCCCCCAATCCAATGATAAATCACACTTGCTTCCAATATAATATAAAACCTTGATTCAAGCTCTAACCCTCGGTCAATGTTAAATTTCTAAACCACGTTCCTAACATGTATTTTAGTCATTCAATAGTAAACTCTCAGACAGAGAAAGAGAGAGGTGAGTTTTAAATGGGGTTCTAAGCCGTGCAACCTTTCACACGATGATGATCTTATGCAAGGCAAGAGATAAAGCAAAGAAAGCAAAGGGAGGATGGTGGTGGGGAAGTTGTGGACGCTTGTGGAAGACTGTCCAACTAAAAAAACAAACCAAACCAAACCAAACCAGATTGGCCACTACCCTAAAACAACCCACCTCAAACTAATGGGCCGTACGGGGTAGAGGTGTGACACCTCCAGTCCAACTAAAGCAGAAACGTACTAAAAGTCTTAATCCATGTAAAAAAACGTGTTAAGTCCAATGAAAGCCCAATTCAACCTGAACAGAAGGAAAAAGGAACCAAAAACCAGAGAAGGCAGAAGAGACGCAGCGACGAGTTGAAGTCGAGGATGTCGATACTGTGGGAGAAGAGCGGGACATGGAGGTGGGTAGTGAACAAGACCCGTGATTCGAAGCCCTTCTTCTTGGCCTTCGCCACCGTTTGCGGCGTCGTTCCGGGCGTTATTGGCTACTTCGTTATGCAGACCACCAACTCTGGAAACCAACAGCTCGAGGCCGAGCTCCGCCGCAACGCCCGACCTGAATCCATGGTGCGATTTCTGTTCAACCCAGTTGGTTTTCTGACATTGTATTCGGTTTTAAGAAATGGGTTTTGCTTGTAATTAGGCAAAGATTGTTAATTTATGGAGAATTATACGAACCCCTTTTCGAATAGCGAATAAATTAGGTGATCAAATTGATTATTCGATTTGGACGGGTTGTTTTTGTTTGATGCAAATTCAAAGCTGCAATCTTGACTTGTTGGTGAAGTTGTGATACATGTTATATGAGTAATGCGTTTGATAAAATGAAGTGACCTGAAAAGTTTTGGTTTGTTGAAGCCAATCTGTGTGATCTGTGTCTACGCTTCCAACTTTAGGTAAAGGAAATATATCCAGCTAAATGATTTTCACTCACTAGTATGGAACACATGTATATGTATGTGCCAAAATGTCTGACTAATTTGCGTCGTTTGATGGTATGGAACCAACTCAACCAAGTAATCTCACTTCTTCGATCTGTATATATCGAGTTTGTTTTGCTAAGAATGTACCTCACTGAACTAAATTTTTAAGGCCTTGCCTTTCCTACTTTATTGTTTACACTTTCATGTTTAAAATTCGTTGTGATCTTGAACAGATAATTGCTCGTGTATAACTCCTCTAATGTCTTGGTTCCAACATTTATCTTTCCTATGTGTTTATAATTCATCAGAAACATTGAATAATGTTTATGAAATCGAATCTTGTTGAGAAACCATCACTTGTACGTGTGTCACCCATTACAGAGGCAGTTTAACTCATCCAGTACTGATCCCTATTGGATCAGAAACCGTGAATAAATCTCATGTTACGTGTCATCAAATTGCTGATATTAAGTTTGATTACTTCTTGTTATTGAAAGCTTGTTTCCTTGTTTAGTTCAAATGGATTTCAAATCAATTTCGGGTTGTTTCTTGAAGCAGTTTCGTACTCTGAATCAACACAAATGCTGATAGTTTTTTTGCTTGAAATTTTTAATCAGAGGATGGGGCAAGTGAATAAAGAAAGATTGGCAGAATTCCTTGGGGAGTTGCAGCGGAAAGAGAACACAAATGACCGCTATGTTGCTGCACTGAAAGGAGAGACATTGACTAGGAATCCATATGTGAGAATTCAACCAATTCCAAAGCCAAGCAACACCGAAGCTGAGAAGGAACAGAAGTAGATGGAGGTTCTGCTGTCAAGGGTATCTGTATGTTTCTTCAGAACAAGTACATGGATGGGTTTTGGCGTTTTTGATAGCATGGTTATGCAGAACTTTGCGAGCTGTGTCTTATTTTTTTATGAATATTTAAGTGCAGTAAGAACTCACTGAGAAAAAAGGGCAACGGAATACGATAGTTTCTCATGTACATGTTGTTCTAGAACATTTTCCGATGCATGGAATGCCACACTATCAAATTTGAAGATAGGAAGAAGCATTAAACATATAAAGTTTTTGCTGTCAAATTTGACATATTAGAAAAGGTGCTGTCAATTAATTTTTTTAATTATTTTATTGTGTTAGAAGAATTTGTGGGTTAGGAGAGAAAAAACATATCGATTAGAAGAAGAGAAAATCTGACATTACTACATTAGCCATCAAATTATCATTGGACATTTATCTTTTGACATCTCAATTGGAGATGCTCTAAAGAGCCAAACAATGTCCAAAGTAGATCGATAGAAACTCTCACGGAACCTTAATTCTTGAACTAAATATTAGAATTGCTAATTTAGGGTTTGGGACTACAAAGCAATGAAGCAGAACTCATTCCCTTTTGCATTCCCATAACAATTTGTGAGCTTGTATTACCATGGACAGATAGACTGCTGCAACGGTAGTGTCTGGGTAAACTCCTGTACCTACTGTGATGGTGCAGCTGTTGAAAGCCCAAATTAATGGGCTAGCCAGGCAATCAGAGATTCTAATTTCATGGAAGGAACCCTTCAGATTTTTAGGGTTTGTCATTGGTGGCAGAACATACAGAACACTTCATTGCAGAGACTCTTATCACCATACCTACTTGCTACAGCACTGTAAAAGCACCATATCGATCAAAAAACTCCATGCCCGGATAATTACTGGAGGTTTTGAGCAAAACCCATTTGTTGTTGCAAAGCTAGTTGGCAAGTATGTCGAGTGCAGTGAATCAAGCATGGAAGCTCCACGTAAGCTGTTTGATAAATTGCTTGAGAGAGACGTTTTTGTGTGGAACATGGTTATTCAGGCTTATGCAAATGTGGTTCCTTTTGTTGAAGCCCTCAATGTGTATGATAGAATTCGGTTCAGTGGTGTACCTGCAAACCGGTACACCCACCCTTTTGTGCTCGAGGCTTGCGGTGCAATGAGAGATGTAAAAAGAGGTCGGATTGTTCATGGACATGTCGTGAAATGTGGACTCGACTCGGATTTGTCTGTTGGGAATGCCCTTATTGCCTTGTATTCCAAGTGTGAGGAGATTGAGATATCGAGAAGAGTGTTCGATGAAATACCTGAGAAAGATTCTTTCAGTTGGAATTCCATGATTTCGGGGTACACGACAAGTGGGAATCCTCATGAAGCTCTCATGGTTTTTCATTCCACGCTGCAAGATCATGCCACATGCTTGCCTGACCATGCCACTCTTGTTTGCATTCTTCCTGCTTGTGTTGAAGCATCGGCTATTGAAGTTGAATTTTGGATTCATTCTTACATTACATAGCCAATTATGAAAGCCGATGCTGTTTTAGGCAGCGCTCTCATTACAATGTATGCAAATTGTGGTCGCGTAACCACTGCCAGAGTTATTTTTGATCAAATCAGCGAGAATACTGTGATCCTGTGGAGTGTGATTATCCGGTGTTATGGAATGCACAGGCATGTAGATGAGGCACTCCAAGTGTTTTCGCAGTTTGTGGAGACTGGCTTACGCCCGGATGGTACTGTATTTTTGTGTTTACTGTCCACTTGTAGTCACTCAGGGATGATCACAAAAGGCTTGGAACTTTTCGAGAAAATGGTAGATTATGGAGTAACAATAAGCGAGAAACACTACGCCTGTGTAGTTGACCTTCTGGGAAGAGCTGGGTTACTTGACCAGGCGGTCGAGCTTATTAGAAGCATGCCCATGGAGGCAGGGAAAGATGAATATGGTGCCTTGCTTGGAGCCTGTAGAATACATAATAACATAGAACTCGCCGAAGAAGCTGCGGGAAAGTTGTTTGTTTTGGACCCCGAAAATGCTGGGAGGTACATTCGTCTAGTCATCATCTATGAAGATGTGGGCAGATGGGAGGATGCTGGTAGAGTGAGGAAGCTACTGAGAGACAACAACGTCAAGAAGCCAACTGGAAGTAGTTCGGTTGAGGTGGATTGTATGTATCACACATTTGAAGCGGATGACGAATCTCACCGGTATACAGACCAGATTTTCAACACATTGCAGAGATTGGATACGATAATGGAAGAAGAAACAGTGATGGTTTAATGTGATTGTCGTGCCTCAATAGAGTTACACGATTTGAATTCGACAGTGTCACCGTTAGAGCAATTGTTTCTGAATTATTGACCTAATGCAGGTTGTTCTACAAAGTTTTACACTTTACATTTTCGCATTAACCTGCTTCTTTTTGCAAATTGAACGAATTAGAACTCCATCGAAGTTCTCGCTAATTGGCGAATGCTGACAGAAGAAGCACAACTCACAAGTTCTACTGATTTTAAGCAACCAAACATCTTACAGATGATTAGAAAGAGGAGCAGAAGTACACATTAGATTTAGAAAGCAGGACTGTACAATCTGGCGCAATTCGAAACCCGGGTGTCACGGACAGAAGGCAGACAATCTCTAAAAGCTATATGCACAATCTGATATACACACGAATCCCTTTGTGCGGTTATCCGGTGAAAACCCTGAGACGGCTGCGAATTGGCTGGCGGCAAATTGGACAGTCGGACAATCTCGGTGCACAGTCTCTGCACGACTGCAATGAAATAATTGTTAATAATGGCAATTGGCATGCAAGACAGGAAAGAACAGAGAGAAGGGGTTCTGCTAATGCAGCTCACCATGTGTCCGCAACCAAAGGCAATGTCCTTTCCATTTGTTAGGCAGATTGGACAGAGCTGCATTCAAATTGAAACGAAGAAAGTATATAAGTTATCCGAATTTGTAAGAAGCTCAAATACATTTCGCTTCGGTCATCTATATATAGCAATTGTAGAAATTACAAAACAAAAAAAGCTATACCATCTCGCTTCGTTCATCCCCTGCAGGCGCTGGAAGACCACTTGGTTCGCGAGTTGGTGCACGATGGGTGTGCGCTGGAAGACCACTTGGTTCGTGAGTTGGTGCACGATGGGTGTAAGGAACTGGTGGAGGGCGTGGAACGATTTTCTTCTTTTTCCCTGTCGTACGTCTTTTTTCCAGGTACAATAAAACTTATATTAGTAAGCTTATGCATGCTAGAGTCTAATCCAATCAAAATGGTGTTTATGCTAACCATACCCAAGTATACCGAATTCAACAGCAGCCTTATACTGGATTGGGATTTCCATGAGGGCAGCCAGAGCAAATGCAGTTTCTTTCTCGGATGAAGTTGTGTGTTTAGACATAATTTCGGTGAAGTTAACGAACTATAAACGAAAATAAACTAGTTAGAGGATTAATGTCTGCTTAAAATCTCTCCATTGGCAATAAACTTAGTGCTATATAGCTTATCATACCTGAAAATTATCAAATTCGCGTGAAGGGAGCTTGTCATCGAACTTCCTCATGTCTTCCCAAGGACCATCCCCGACTCCAACAAGAACAATCGAGAGCGGATAGAAACTGCTCACATAAGTTTTCAAAGTAAATCTTTTAGGTTCAACTCAATATTCCTGCTGTAATAATGCACTCAGTGCCTGGTAAATCGACACATTTAGCACCTTTCAAGATTTGCTTAGGTTTAGCCATGACAACTGCATTGCATAGACATACTTAAAACAAAGGAAATGAAAGTTGCAGGTTCTACCTTGCATCTGCAATTGATCCGATCGTCTTCTGCTCCTGTGGACTCAATTCATTGTCGCTGGTATCGATGCTTCTGGTGACCTTTACAATTAAGAAACTCGTACTTAGTTGAGAGAGAGAGAGAGAGAGAGAGAGAGAGAGAGAGAGAGAGAGCGCATCAGATATTAAACCTGGCCATCTGCAATGATAACTAAAACATGGTATTGCCCTCCACTTTTCTCCACAATATCCATTGCAGCTTCAACTACAGGTCCATAAGATGTTGGCCCTTAAAACACAACATATGTCTATAAATCTCTGATACTCCAAACTATAATACGTGAAAAACACAAGATATAAGATTACGCCAACCCAAAGTCGCAAATTTGGAACTATTCTTTTGTAGCAGGCCAAGACTTCTTCGAAACCATGGCAGGGCGAATGATCATTGTGAAAGCTAAACACCTCTTGATCATGAGTGGTAGCTAAAAAGTGAGGAGGGAGGTAAAGTCAATCCAATGATCAAAACACGAAACGAAACAAAAAAAGGTCCAGAGCTTCAAACTTTGGAGGGATTAAGGCCCCTACCATCACCAAAGCCGAAACAAGGAATGAGGTTGTCTTCATCAAATGGAGCTAAAGTTTTTCCAATTATGGAGATAGCCTTCTCATATGGATTAGGTTCATCGCCAATGGCGTGCAGGCTCCGGTTTCTGAATGAAACTTTGCCTGCAGTAACAACAACAACAAATCATCTGCTTCAAAGATGTCCAAACACAAAATGCATCTAAGTCTATGTATACGAACAGCGGTGCAGTTTTTATTTTCGTCCGCTAACCTGTCCATTCGTTGCTCTTGGTGAAGTCAATTCCGACGATGAGATTAGATGACTCTAAACCTTCTTTTCTCAAGGCATCTGTAACCTGAAAAAAGGAAGCAATTGATTTTCTGCAAGGTTAAAGGAGACGTTCATATTTTTTTTTTTCTTTCAAATTTCTGTTCAGAGTTACTGTGAGTTGTTCCAAAACATGTGAAGTGATGAGCCGAGTATCATCGGTTGTTACACATCATGCAACGAGACAGATAGGCGCATCGTTGTATATTAACTGGAGATTTGACAAATTTACTCGGTGATGATTGAGACTAATTGAGAAATGACTCTATACACTCATTTGCTTACTATTGCTTAATTTTGTCTATTGATTCTCGTTTACTTATTCAATCAAAAGATTTTAGATACACAAGACTGTGTAGAGAAAGAAAATGGGTATGCAGAAATCACTTTCCGTAAAACCCCTCGTGTTTCACAACCTTTCTTTAATAATCATACTTAGAAGAATAAACAGTAGGGTCGTGGGACAAGCAAGTAAAAGCAAGTCCCACTCGCCTTGCTTGTATTCTGTGTGCTAGCATTGCCCATTGGCCAATCTTCCAATGTGCCATTAAAAATAGAGTAATGCTTTCAAAGAGACGCGTTGACACGTCACTAATGCAAAATCCTTTTTATATAAAGAAAGAAAGATGCGTGCAACATGCTTGATTAATAATTGACAATCATGATAGTTGCTTGGCCCATGATTAATAAATAAATAGAAATTAACCACTCAAATAAGGGTATATTTTGGCTCAGCATCCTCAAGTGGTGGCAATACTTATTATCTTGTTTATCGCATTTTGATCAATTTAAATTTTGTGCCTATTCATTACTCATATCTCAAAATTTAAACTCATCTAACAATTATAAATAAGGTGGTGAGCATTGCTATTATTTGAGGATGGTGAACATCACCATTACTTGAGTGCGGTGAGAAAAAAAATCCCCTCAATAATGTATTTTTGTGATGGTTTCGAATTGGATATGACTAAAAAGCAGTTAAAAATACCATCCAAGTCAATTCTAGGGAGGACTGAGACTAGACTAAAAGAGTGGATATCCATTTACAATTTTACGTGGTACTGATAAATTGTGGTGTTATTAATTTACGTGTTCAATTAAATTGACGGGATGAAAGCTACGACCAATAATAAGTCCTTTAGCAGTAGGTCCTGCTATTTGATAAGGAAATCATAAAATAAAAAAATTATTATTATTTTAGTAGAGCCCATGTTGTTACGTATGTTTAAAATAAGTGCCAATATTATATCAACACAAAAAAGGGACACTTTGAGCTCATCCAATAACATATTCCAAGTCATGTTGGGATAAGAAACTTTCAATAATGCTATCATGTCTTTGAGATTATCGACTGGTTTGGATCTTAGTCATTTGAAGTGCTCTAGATGGGTCCAAGTCCAACCACCCTAAAATGGTGTAGGCAATGGAGCTAATCAACTAGGTTTCAGTGTTTAGTGGTAATCCTACTCTCAATTTTTGTCTAAACCCGACTCTTAATATGTAACGAATTATCATGGAAACTGTTCTTGGGCCATCACTTGAAGTAAAGGCGGAACCAGGATTTTAGTCTAGAACGGATTCAAAAGTCTTAATCTGAAACATTTGATTTTACAAAAATTATTCTACCTTGTGATCAGCAATCGACCACCATCGTTTGGATTTAATATGGTGTCGTCCTCATCATCCCCTTCCTTAAGCCTAAACCCAAGCCTCTCTGACTTTCTTCCTCTCTCCTTCCACCGATATCCATACCTCAGTCCTCCTCAAAGCTCACAACATAAGAGCAACTAACCTCAAATCAAGCCTAAAGAAGGAAATTAAAGTAAAAATACCGGAATGGGACTTCGAGCCTACGAAAATCATAACCATAACAATAAACTTTTTCGTGTGAAAAAAAAAGTCAGGATGGGTGTGAAACCAACCATCATGATCCTTCATGGCCCTGCCTCTTACTTGAAATCAACTAATAAAAAAATGGCATATGTTGAACTTGATTAGTTGGTCAAAGCAGTGTGCATGCTTTGGTGCGTTCTTATAATCAAATTTGAGTTTCGTATAAAAGTAATATAGTATAAGAGAATGATTCTCTTAACCTCGAGTCGTATATTTCAAAGTTTTGAGAAACAAACTGAGGAGAGAAATTATTGATTAATTTTGACTAGAGATTTTTTTTTTTTTTTTTTTAAAGAAAGACAATTGATGACAAGTTACGATTATCCACTTATTTCAGATTCGGGGAGTTTATGTGGAATTTCACCCTATTCACAATTAAGCAGACACATCCGTTTGGAGCATCGAACCCAATAACTCCTATATTTTTTTTGTTTATTAAGAAGTCGAGTCCGCGTCATTATTGCTGACCACTGTTTATTCAATTATTTGAAAATTTTCCGTTGAAAAGTGAATAGAAACCGTAGAATTTTGGACAATGTCAAAGGATAGTCAGAGGAGAAGACCCAAAAAAAAAATCCAATCCAAAACAAAACCAAACCAAACCTATGATAATTAAAAAGGAGATAAACAATCCTCCTATTAAAACAGAGATTCCCATAGAGTTAACATATTCCCCAATTTGTATGTGAAATTAACGAAAATTTTCATATGTTTTCTGCTTAATTTCAGACAAAATTGCAAAAATAATTAATTTGTTAGAGAGAGAGAAGAGAGAGAAACCTGTTGAAGGGATGTGTAGTTATCAGGGATATAAGCGTACTTATGCTTCTCCGTACCACTCCTTGCTTTGCTAGCACTCGTATCATTTATGTTCAGTTTCCTGGACATCCCGGGATCATACGACGGCGTTCTACCAGTGACGCCGTGGTTGCTGCCGGCGGTGCCACCGGAGATACTTCTAGAAACCCCATGGCTGTTCTGCTTGCTCTTGAAAAGTGACAAGAGGTTCCCCATGGCAACATCTACTCCTCCTTTGTTGTTCAATGCAAGGCCGGTAAATATGAGAGAAAACAGAGGACAAAAGAGAGATTTAAATAGGGTGCCGAGAGTGAAAAACTATGGACTCCGTCTGCTTTGGATTCAGAAGAAGAAAAGGAAGAAGAGTCAGGGAAGTGAGGTTAGGAATATATGCTTTAGTTTGTTGCTGCCTATGAACAAAGCAGAAGACTTTTTGAGGAGGAATAAAGAGTTCCCTCGTAAAAGAACGTTAGGTGACCGTCACACCCCACCCGTGGCGTTACGAGATTTTGAGGATGCTGTGCGAAATTAAAATTCAACATCTTCACGTGTAAAACTCTATTTTGGTGTTTAAAACGGTTTTCTTCTTTTGTGGTATATTTATGAGTACAAAATTTAATATAAAAATTAATTTTGTAATGCAATATTGTCTAATGAACAGTAGATATAGAAGAATATAAAAGAAAGTATGTATTAAAGAAATGAAGTTTTTAACAAGGAAAAAAAGAAGGTAGATAAAAAGATACACTATTCTCCATAACAGAAAGTAAATTGGATATTTTTAAAATTTGTACTTAATTAAGTTATGCATATGTAGAATTTTTTTTTTAATATATATGTAACTCACTATAGGCTCGAGAAACAAATAAAAGATGTGTACGACGAGATATCCAGCAACAAGAAGAAGGAAAATGATTGAATGAGAAACTCTCGAGACTCTTGAAAAATCTTTTTCATTCTTCGGTTATATATGGAAAGATAGAAATAAAATGACTACATGTGACAACCTGTTCCAAATTTTACGTTTTTATTTTATTTTAAAAGCATGAATTTACGAAATTGCCCTAGAGGCAAGGACTTTGACTTCTGTTGACCATCGTCTAGAGAGACGTATGACTTATTCTTTTAACATATTCTCGTAATACTCGTGGATGTGAACGCATAGACGAAAGCCGTTTGCGAGTCCGGATTATAACGGTATAGGTACGGACGTTCGAAATTGGTTATTCAAGGTTTAGTGTTAATTAAATTAAATCCCCAATCAGAAATTGGTTATTTAAAGTGAAGCCCAATCAGAAAAAGAAAGAAAGAAAAAAAAAATCCCAGCTTTCCCGTGGGTTTTCCCACTCCCGACCACCCATTTTCCAAGGCCGATTCCGGCCAACTCCGGTGGAGTTTTTCGATGCCACCACCACCATCTTGAAGCTCTCATTCCCCTCTACAAAACTCACCCAAGAACCACCTTAATTAACCATGGGATGTGGAGGTTTGAGGCCACGAAAGTTGACGAAAATCAATGGTGCTCCGGCCACCCTTCTCAATTTTCCGGCAAATCGGCAAAGCAATGGCCGATGCCACCACTTGGGCTTTGTAGCCCATCATCCCAGGAGCAAAACCCAACCAACCTTGACCCCGTTGGACCACCGTAGACGACGAATCGACGTCAGGAAGTTTTAGGCATCCGCCGGCTTCATGGGCAAAATTGACCATCTTCCGTCCACTTTTGGACTTCGTGGCAGGTATGAAAGTTGTTCCACTCACTGAGATCTTCATTTCTGTGAAGTTTGAGATTTTTTGGAAATAGTTGGATTTTCCGGCGAGCCGGGGCAGCGCGTGGCCAGTGAGCCGCCAATGCTATTTTTAGGCTATGTCGAATGTTTTGAAGTCAGTTTTGTCATTTGAATGACGTAGGTTGATAGTTGGAACCTAAATTCATTACGATACGTTACTTGATAAAAATGTGAATCAATGATCCGACCGTTGGATCGTCACCAAAATTGGATACATTATAATACGTAATATTTAAAGATCATAGGAATTTACGGATCGGGAATCTGAATTACGGATCTTCCTGAATTGGATTGGAAGTTAGTAAAATAAATGTTCACGGCCACTTGTTTTAGGCAATTGACGGAGATCTGACCGTTGGATCGTAATGAAATTTTAATATGTTATTCTAGAAACATATTGTGGATCGTTGGGAGTTGCAGATTGGAAATTTGATATGCGGATCTTCCGGGTCAAGTTATACAGGGTTGTAAACCCTACCGTCGATCTTTGATAGACGGTTGATTTGTGGTCAATGGGTATCAAACTATTTTAGAATGTCGTTGAAGTTGTGTTTTATGTGAATTACGTATTCTACGGATAAGAGTTCTGAGATGTGATTTGATAATTGGCCACAGGGACCGATCATTCAGGACGCCTCGATGCGTGCGCTAGAGAATCATAGCGTGGACTCCAGGTGAGTGCATCTTTTCCTTTTTATCGTACATATTATTGAGAGTTCTATCGACACCTTTAAATTAATTAGGCATATTACTTTCATATATAATTATTGTGAATGCTTGAAGTACTATATAAACTACGAATGGTTTGATCCCTATCTAGGGTACGTAGGCAGTCTAACGAGATGTTAGATGCAGCCATAAAATATTTGAGACAAAAGCCTTGTTTGGGAAATTGAGTAATGCGAAGGAAATTGGTTAAGGCAAGTTTTAGTTTTATGAATTAGTTAGTTAAATTAGTGTTAATTGGGTTGTCATGAATAATTATCCTTGAAAATAAGTAGTTTGGGAGTAGGGTGTTATTGATTGTACACTTCTCACCGTATTGTTTATAATTGAAAATGCTACGACATGGTTGAGTATTAGATTGCATCATAGTATATCCATATGTATATTACTTGCATATAATTATTGGGAATGCTTTCAAGTGCAAAGGTGAACTCAGGACACCCAGGTAAGTTCAGGTGAGTTTATGGTATTAGTGGAATCGATTGAGTTATAGCATGACTACAGTTATGTGTTAGGCAACTTCGATACTGTCGTACTAATTGCCATGAGTTCCACAGGTTATATTGAGATGCATTGAGAGCTCATAAACCTGCACCCCGGTGTTAGTGCTCCCGCCCGTGGCCAGGGCACAGTCCTTCACGTGATGTTCACCTCCCGCACCTTACTCTCACCTTGGATACAAGGTAGGTGCACAGTCCTGTCGTACAGACCACTTTAGGTGGTTCCGACTCGTAGGTGACCCGCGATTATTCGCACAGTCTTCACGTGATCGTAGCACTTGAGCGTATTTATTTACACCCAGTCTTGTCGTACAGACCACTTTAGGTGGTTCCGACTCGTGTGCAGGTATACTTATTGAGTTATTTGCTAGCCAGGATTAATGAGATATGGATAAGTCGTACAGGTCACTATAGGTGACTCCGACTTATATGCTAGCCAGGATTGATGAGATATGGATAAGTCGTACAGGTCATTTTAGATGACTCTGACTAATACATCACTTTGTATTGATTTAGTTCATTTGGCCTACTTATTAGTGTATGATAGAGTTGATGGCAAACCGTGGTTTTGGTCATTTATGAGTATGGTTTGGATATATGAATATATGTTGTACTGTCCTATAGAAAACGATAAGGGAATTACAGTGAGGGGTTATTACTGTTAGAAAGGTAATAGTTTTAGGAAGCTTGGTTTTACTGCTTACTCACACTTTCTGTTTTGTAACCCTTCAGGTTTTAACTGCTGGGTTCGTATCGATGAGGATATATAGCTAACCTTAGTATTGGTGGCTACTTTTAAGGGTATGATTCTTACCCACACTACTGTACCTTACTTATGCTCTGACATCGCGTGTGAAATGGGTTTGCTCCCACTCGTAGCGCACTCTGGTACTTAGATACTTTTAGATTCAAATTTATTCACATTTTATGGCTTCGTCACCTTCCAAGTGTCGGCCAGCACAGCTCGATTCAGGGTCCAAGTGGACTTTCTGGGTCGGGGTGTGTCACTACAATTATATATATAGATTTTTTTTTAATTCAAATTTGCACTTCACACATGTTTTTTTTTTTCAGGAGTGTTCAGTGGGCTAAATCATTTAGCAACTATGAAACTGTTTGGCTTTTTACATATCAGGTGTCATGCCTTTTGACACAAGGATGTGATATTATTTCACTGTATAAATGACATAGTTTGAAGATCTTTTGTATAAAATTTCTTTCGATTTGGAGACCATTAATCATGAAATATTTAAAAAAAAAAAAAAAAAAAAAAACCAAATTGACGGTTAATAATGAGAATATTGTTACCATAGTTGTCTATTTGTTCGACACATATGAATGATTAAACGATTTCAATATTAAATGAAATTTCTATAAATAATATTTATATGATGATAAAGAGCAACAATTTGAATTATGATATTTGGAAAATAAAATGGAGTTACATTGTTATAGAACGGGAAATAACTTTTTACTTACAAAAAGCAGAATAATTTACAATAATTTATAAATAATTAAACATATGAAACGAAGGAAAATTGAACCGTTACTAATACGCATGTTTTTAGCTTAGATGCTCCAACATCCATTTTGCCTTTGCATATTCTTATCCAAATACTTTTGGGAAATTCCAATTAGTGTCTCTTACAATATTCTCCCTCGTTGGTCATATAAAAAAGAACTAGATCCTCTCCTGAGCCCAGGATGAAGATCCTCCTGAGCAGCTCATTCGGACCGTTTAAATTTGATTCAACGGCTCCAAAAAAGGATATCCTTTAAAAGTTATAATAATTACAGTCGTTAGATCAAGTTTGAACGGCCCGGATGAGCAGCTCAAGAGAGGATCCAATTCCTATAAAAAAAATGAAGTTAAAGGAATGCGTCATACAAGATTTCATCCATTGTTCTAGTGAAATCGCAGTCTCTTATTGTACAACGTTTCTAAAAGGACAATCTCAAACCTTCTTAACTATTTTATTTTAAAGAATGAAATTTTTGTTTTTCTTTGTTAATAGGAATGAGGAAGTCGAAGTCGAGATTCTTTTGACTTGTTTGATAATCATTTTATTTTTTGTATTTAGTTTTGTTCTTTGGATATAGGAAACGTAAATGAGCAAAAGAAGAATGAATAATATAAGACTCGTTTAGAAATGCTTTTAAAATAGATGAAAGTGTTTTTAGTGAAAATATTTTTGAAATCAATCTTTTGTTAAAATGCATGTGAATCTTGAAGAAAAACACACTTAAAAGTGTCTCTTGCAAGAAGTATATGACTGATGTTTTTTGTTTAATGCACTTTAAGTTGAAATAAAAAAATATATTTTCTCTAAAAATATTTTCAATAATTTTTAATTCACTTCCACAGGAGGTCATATATATATATATATATAAAATTTTTTTTATAGAAAAAGTGCAATTAATTTAAAGAGAAACCTCATTAACACCTAAGGTCTCGAAAGC